AATGATCATTGAGGACAGCGCAGATCAGTGGTTTGGATAATGCAGTGACTACTGCCTACCCACCCAACCATTACCCGCCCATTCACCCACTTTTTTAATCATTCGCCTATCCGTCCCTCCTTCATCCACTCCCATTATCTCGCCCACCATCTATGTGGAGGCGGAGGGTCGTCGTGGCTGCCCGTGTGCCTGTGTGCCAAGCAGTGGGGTATGAGTGGCCACGTTAGGTGGTGACAGCCAAGTGGGTGGTTGAAGCATTGCATCATAGCACAAGAAAGTGTCCGAAAGTGGCGATGAGTTGGGGAGGCAACCGGTGGTGGGAGGAGGGAGAGCGGATTGGGTGTGAGGAGGCATTGCAACACATCGGCGTGCTTCAGCGTCGGTCGAGTGCAGTGCTTCCATTTGACTGAGACGAGGCATCATGATGTTTAGGTTGGTGGTTTGAGAGTGCACCCAATTTTTGGCAAACTGTGTGGGCTTTACGACTTGTGTATGTGGGTAGTGAGTCAGGTAGTGGTGGCATTGATAACAAAGAGGAGACGGCATTGACTGCGATATACTGACGTGTTTTATTTACTAGTCTGTCTATTCGCGTGGTTTACATTTAGCTTCCTGAAGTTCACTTTCCTTTCGAACGTGTAAATCGAACGAGATGTGAGGTGAGACACCTGTCCCAGTTGAGAGAGTGCAGAGGAATGCGTGGCACAGAGCTACTTAATATTTGTGTCAGTTTTGTGTTTTGACGTAAGGCGCACCAAAGAAATGCAACAGCTTTTATTCTGTTAAAATAGGTGCACTAGTAATTTCGACTTAATTTTTTCATACTAACACATAGAACAACGTAATGAGTCAACATGGGTATTTGTTCGTGCTTAAAATTCGTATCATAGTTGATGGCCTTATTGGAGAGCTGAGTGATTATTTGTATCCGCCTCATTAGGAAGGGCGTCGCATACAGAATTTGGGTTAAAAGTGGATTGGCCTTTTCAGGGAAGTGGATGGAAGGAGAGGGGAGGGTGAAGGAGCGAGATTTAATGCGTGTAGCGCCAAATATACAGGCTCTTTATAAGGCAATCTTGTTACCTTGATGAAGTTGTGGTAGTAAAAGAAGAAATCGCGATATTTTGCTAATTCGACTGGTTACTCGCTTAAAGGTCATTTTGATATTCATTTTGCTCTTGCTTTTGTTGGCTGGTCTTCCGGTCGAGTCAAGGACCAACCTCTTTTCACCATTGAATGTAGATTAACGGTCCGTCTTAATGTCTTCCGCTAAATAATGGGAGATTTCGTCCGTAAAATGCCTATATAGCAACGGAACTATCCATACTCGTAAAGTTCAAAAAAATAAATAAAACTGAAGGCAGAGTGGAGAGGGAGAGTTATTTGGTAATGCATGGCCTTTTTGGCTTCAAATCAAGTTTTTTAAAGTTCTTTTAAAGGTAATTACCAAAAGGGCTGGTCAACTTAAATAGAAACTAAAGCAATTCGAACAAATGTTTTAAAGGCAAAAATGGATGCACTAGATTTAAAATAGAGAACGGTATGTCCAGAGAGGAGTATACGTTGCTAAAATAGGAGGACGTAATCAGGTATCGAAAGTTTGAAGACACAGATTAATAGCTCGATTGCGATCAATTTTGCGCAATGTTAGTTTTAGTTTATGAAAGGCCGACGCTTTGGTAAGGAGCAGTGGAACCAAATAATTTTGAATAACCAAGCAAGCAAATCAAAGTAGGAAGGCAAAATAAATAAAAAATGCCAATCCATTTTTAAATTCAGTAAAATTTTGGATTTCCTGTTCTTTTGGACACAGTGAGTATGGGTGGCACTCGTGAACACCAAAAGTCAAGTACTTTGAACTTATGGAATAAGATGTAGATCTATTTAATCATTATTGTAAAAATTTGCCACTTAGATAATAACCAAATGGTTATCTCAAGCTATACTTACTTAAATTAGTTTCCTTTGTTTTATTTTACGAACGCATGAGGTCGAAATGCTTGTGGTTAATTAAATATTCAGTGTTGGTGCCTTAAGTGCTAAATGGTTGGGAAGCCGGAGCAACCCGAGACAGGTGCGGAGCCCCATGATGAGATACCCAAAGGACCACCTGAACAGTTTAATTCATCGTTATTACAAAAGGCGACCCCAGAGTACTTACAAGAGCTCTTAATGGACAAAAAGCAGTTGCAGAGCATGCCTAACAGTTTTAAGCATGTTGAATTAATACTGGAAAAGGGTGGGTCATTTTTATGTCGTATTGTTCACTCGAATCTAATCTCCGCCACGTGTCACGAATTCGTATATTCTTGAAATTGTAGGTTTAAACAGGTAACAATGCATCCATAGTGTGACACATCTCTGCAAGAAAAAGATACTCACTTTTTGCCTTAACATAGTTTTATTATTCTGTTCACATTTTATTGATTAAATTAACCCGCATTTACTGAATAATACGATTATCAGCAGTCGCTATTGATTAATGGGGTATGATATTGCTAATAACGAAATTGTCTTGATTAATTTAACACACACTGGCTTTTTGTATGCCACAGTTTAATTCTGGAAAGTCAAATCCATTTTGTATGTTATCGTTTGGCCAATCGGGTATGATTAACTTAAACTGTAACAGCTTAACTTCATAACAGCGAGCTCGCTGAAATTTGATCATTCCATATTTTGCTTTTAGAATGTACTTGATTTGCCCTAATGCACTGCATTTTAGCCTTCTGCTAAATTGACTTTTCTTAAAACAGAAATTGCACAAGTGCGTGAACGTCTATTTCACAAAAATGGTTCCATTCAAATGAGCAATACTGATTTGCCAGATCCTTCCGGTCAAATCATAACCCTTCAAAGGAAGGTGTACATACCAGTTAAGGAGAATCCAACAGTAAGCATGTGATGACATTTTCTCTTACTGTCTAATCAGTACAACTTTGTTGGAAGACTGCTTGGACCACGTGGACTAACTGCAAAGCAAATGGAACAGGATTTGGGCTGCAAAATCATGGTCAGAGGGAAGGGATCCATGCGCGACAAACGGAAGGTGATTTTAAACTCTCCATTTTAGCGCACAAAAACACTTGTGCCTAAAACCAATTCCTTCACTAGCACCACTTTCTTTCATTTCTTCATCTGTCTGCGTAGGAGGATCAAAATCGTGGCAAGCCAAATTGGGAGCATTTGCAAGAAGATTTGCACGTTTTGGTGAGTGTTGAAGACTACGAAAGTCGTGCCGAATTACGACTTCAACGTGCTGTGAATGCTATTACAATATTTCTTGAACAAGGTCTTCGAACTGTAAGTCCTGCCATCATTCCTTTTTGTATGTGTGTAGGTGTGTAGTCTCCACTTTTTTACTTTATAATGCATGTCTTTTAAATTTAATTATGTTAGCACCTACAAAGAGGTGCGACCTTGAGTTGTACCACTTATTGATTTTCTGTCTATGACTAGACTAGACTAGTCACAATAGAGAGGCAGTTTAGTGACCTCTGGTTAGTTGAGTACCGGGCCTTGCCTAAAACACACACACACACGCACACACGCACACACTGTGAACAGGATTGAGAAGGTAAATTGTGCTGATGTGCGTGTGTATGTGTGCGTGAGTGCGGGTGTGAATGCTAGCATCTCTTTCTCTTGACATCCACGTCTCATTTAGGCGTGCGCATCCGCCTGAGTGTGCACGTGTTTCGATTGCACCACTCTCATACTTCTATTCGTCTCTTCTTCTACTGCTGCCACTGCTACTGCCTACCATCGCTGCTTCTCTCGTTGTTGTTGCTGTTGCTGCTGCTGCAGCAGCAGCTCTCTTATACGGGCTTCTTTTCTCATCACCAAAAGACACCCAAAATGAAAACAAAACATCATGGCATAGCGTGAGAAATCCTCGTCTTTTAAAAATTTTGCCTTCTTCTTCTTCTTCCTCTCTTCGTCTCCTCCCTCTTCCATGTTTAATCCACCATCTCCCAATGGAGTGTGCAAAACTTCTCTCAAAGGGGTGTTAAGAGGGCACAATGCGGGGGGGGGAGGGGGGAGGGAAGGGACTTCATCCACCTCATTCTTCTTTTTTTTTTTCTCCTCTCTAATGTACATCCTAATATTCTTTTTAAAGTAATTAATTTCACCTCAAAGCAAGGCTAATGAAAAAGTCGTCAAATCTGTCACTAAGGTGAAGTCAATGCGTAACTATTGTCCTGTTTAGAGTTATGCAAAATTGTAAAATCTTATTTTATTATTATTTTTTTCATTGTTTCTGTTTGCCAATGGGTCAGTCGTCAAAATTTAGCGCTTGTGTCAACCAAAAATTGTCTACACTGATGGTGTGGTTGAAACAAAGACTGCCAAATTTCCTTCGTGACTGAGGCAACAAAGTCACAACTGTGTCGGCATTTGATTTGATGCGTAAAAAAAAAAAGAGGAGGAGCAGACGATTCGTTCTGATATAAGTGCGTGTTACTGTTGCCTGCGTCTGAGGTGGTGGAGGGGGGAGGCAGCGTGGAGGAGGACGAAGTGGGGACGACAGGCGGTGGTGGTGGTGGTGGGGGGGCATGGGGAGAGGAGATAACGCCGTTTCTCATAACTCACTTCACTTTTACAATCAACAGCAGTGGATTAAGTTGCAGACCTTTTTTTTTTGTTCTCTCTCAAAATTACTATCACATTGTGCCACCAATGGACACACAAGAAGTGAAATTGACAATGGACGTTTGAGTTGATTGGTGTGAAGGTCTCTCACACTTTAATTTTGTCTATTTAAAGTCAATATTTTGGTGGGGGTGAAGTGGGGAGGGGGGAACATCTGACTCGAAGTCGATCAGAAAATTTCTCCTCCTCCACCACCACCACCATCACCACCGCCACCTCCTCCTCCTCCTCCTTCTCCTCCTCCTCCTTCTCCACCTCCTCCTCCTCCTTTTTTTTCTTCCTCAAACAAAATGAAAGTTTCAAATTTGTTTTTCATCTCTTTTGCATATTTTTGTTAACCAAATTTTGGTAGTGCTGGGGGTGAGACGAGGTGATAGGGACGCAGAAGCGAACATCAAAGACAAGCAGAAGAACTGTCAAGGATAGGATAAATTTTATATAACATTTTTTTTGTCTAATTTATTATCACTAAAATACGTGTCCGCCTGACATACCATTTGACATGTGAGTCACCTGACATATTTGATGCTTGTCAAGTTGGTGTAGCTGTTGTTTTAATGCACAGATCAAATTGGCGTCACAAATCAATTGACTTTCCTGGCACACGAGAGGTGCGTTGGAAGAGGGAGGAGGTGGAGGTGGGGGATTGTAAGGGTCACTTTTATCTCACCTCAACAGAACATGCAACAGTCAGGCATCACGGCCTTGTGACAGCGTATTTTCCTTTTTGACACGAGCCCACTTGGAGAGGTGAAGAGGGGGGGAGGGGGGAAGCATTTTTAAATTTAGTGTTGGCCCCTTGCTGAGTCACACCTCGATACAAGGTGCCGGTGGAGGAGGAGGAGGAGGAGGGTGGGGGCAGGAGCGGGCAGATGAAGAAAGGAGGCGGAAGAGGTGAGTGTACGAGTGTTGTGACAAAAGATGGAGGAAAAGCGAAGCCAAAAAAAGGCAAAAAAAGGGCCAAGATGACAAAAGAAGTGGAGGCAGATAGCCGACAGTGAGGTTTTGTGTTGACCACCACCTATCACTGCATGTTTGTTTCTTTTTTCCTCTCTTGGTGCATCCAACTTTTTTTTTTTAATTTTTTTGTTGAGGTTATTTTTAAACAATAGCAACAACAACAACAATAGCAAAAAAATAAAATTTGGATTAGTAGAAGGAAAGGATGAGGGGCGGTATTGATGCACCTACTTTAGTCATTAAAAGGCTCAAGTGGTGAGTCGTTTCACCGGTGTGTAGTTGGTGAGAGCCTCCTCCACTCACACATACCGGTCGGTACACGCTCATAAATGGTGGATGCGTGGATGAGTGCCTCCGTGCGGTTGTTTGAGTGGCTTGTTGAAACAGGTCAACCACTTTTTACTCCCCCCCCCTCCCTCCCTGCAAATCGGATTGGAACCAGTGCTGACGTGTATGATGATGCTTGATTGTGTTCTATTCTACACTTTGTCTTGAAAGGAAGAAAAAAAAAACTACAATGAAAGTTCATTACAAATTCCTCCTCCCTCCTCCTCCTCCTCCTCCTCCTCCTCCTTTCACTTCCAGTGGTTGCTTTCAATTTCATAGGCTGGAGGAAAAAGCAGTCTTGCCTGTGTCAAAACCATTCTAACACCTTCCGATGTCAATGTGTCAACCTCCTCTTCTCTCCTTCTTCTCCACCAC